ACACAACAATACCAAATAATGTACTTACTGAACCATTCAGCGTTTTAGAACATCTGGAGACTTGGAGTTCATGCTTTGTGAAAAACTCTTGGTGTAATAAATAACATTACAGTGCATTACATGACATTAATCGCAATGTCCAAGCCCAATATGTAAACTCTAAAGTGCATATATTTTATAACACCAATGCGATATTTACATAATTATCATTTGCCTCCTTTAACATGCTTCAAGAATCATAAATATCGCCCTAAATGCCTGATAAAACACAATGTTAACCTAAAAGCACAATTTTGCACCAGTTAACTGGTTACCTCGATCGACCAACTCACATAAATCATGTATATTAAGCCTTGTGAAAGAGAAGGTTGCCACCTTACAACTGAGATACATGCTGTAAACATGTTTTCCCTCTCTCCCCCAATTCACCATTGAACCCACATCTACGTCCAAACGAGGTGTCTGTTCTTACCACTAACGGAAGGTCCTACCATACTTCGCCTTATTCAAGGCCCCGTTCCACTGCTTCTCATCATTCTCGTTTGTCTTTGTCGTCTCACACTACTCCGTTTCCATCTCCTTATCCGCATATCTGAAAACGACCTAATTTACGGCTTAGATCTCGCTATCTTTTACTCTCCTTAAGTGATGACCCTGATGGACACAGTCGCATAGTTATCAGACTCACTCCTCTACCTCAAATTCACAACCAACATCACTGTCCTTCTCCTACATCACTACCAGCCCTGCCATCCTCCCACATCTCACCAACGTCTTCACACTCCCCACCACCACCAAATCTTGTCTCCCCTCTTCCTTACATATCCTCCTCCTCCTACCAGTCCAAACATTCCTACCTTAACACCTTCGATTGCACCAACTCACTTTCCTCTCGTCACTCTCCCAACACACTTTCTCATCCTTTACCCCCTTTCCGCTTTCTCCTCCAAACCGTCCCCATTCTTTAAATCTTCCCCCTTCTACTCCTCCGCCTCCCCCTCCTACTCCTCCTCATATTCCTAATCCTATTGTCATTATTTCTCCCCCTCCTTCCAATGCATCTCCCTCATCATCTTCTACTTCCCCTTCTTCTTCCCCTTTTCCTTCTCCTTCTTCTCCTTCATCTTCTTCATCTACCTTACCCACTTTCCATTCCATCAATTATGCCACGCATATCACACACAGTAACCCCCATTCCCGGTCACAAATATTTCCATTCACAGATCAAATGTTCACCTCGCAAACTTCGAAATTACATCAACCCCAAACACCACCACCATCAACACCACCACCAACACCTCCAATTCCAATGCACCTTTCTTTTCTACACAAACAAACCAACAAATCAACTAGCACCATCAAATACTACACAATTTGCCGTCCACCTCACTTGTCATTGCTCGAAACACTGTTTTCCACAATTCCTATCAGCCCCATAGCCTCCCCCATCACCGTAATCAACGCTTCCATCGCTTACCACACTTGCCCACTCTCCATCTCCGATTAAACACAACTTACATTAATAATCAACACTAAGAGGCACATCGATGGCCCGAAGAAGCACACGCAATGCATAGTATGCTTTAAGAAGTTCTCCCGACCATCACTACTCGCAGACCATTTGATAGTGCATTCGGAAGAGAAGGCCATTAGCTGCTAATACTGTCCAAAGTGCACCCCAATCAACAGCTTCTTCCAAATTCATCAACCACTTGCTTCTGCTTAGAGCAAATTCAAGTGCCACCAAAAATAATCAACAAACACAAGCGCCTGCATTTACATCATCTTTGCACACAAGCAACAGCACCATATCAACATCCTTAACCTTTTATCCAAGCCTTCTCACCAAAGTGCATCATCTGCCACCACCAACAGCATCATCAAAACAGCAACACAACCAACACCACCAATAACATAAACGCCAGTATCTCATCTTCAATGGCAACAATGCACTATGCCCTACTCTACATCCACAACACACTCCCCACTTCCCATTCACTTAATCCATCTCACACGTGGTGTGCGATAGAGTTACCTCCACGTGGTACACCCTGAGCGACGTATACTCAGACGGCAAAAAACGTCTATCAACCGTCAGTTGGCTTCCGATTTCAAAATTCCATGACCACACTGTATATCATATTCCACCACCACACAGTACTCACCTAACCTTTTTCTTCCCATATGTCTGCCTGTCTCCTCAACATCTCTGAATCGGATATATGTTGTTCCTTCTCCATTCGTTTCCACTTACATTTTCTCCCCCTCTCTCGAGCCAAAACGCAGCTATATTACTAATGATGACAAACGAAACGCCTGACACTTGAAATAACTACTCAGCCGCAACACTGCTTGCTATAGGTACTTCCTTGAGCTTGCTTTAAACAAGAAATTCAACAATTTGTTGTTCACTTGTTAGGCCATTTCAAGAATCAAAGCTCCATTTTCCCAAAGTTACGTTTGTTTATTGATATTGCAATCAATGCCGTTTTAATAGGGAGAACTCTAACTAAATTATATTTAGGAATTAATAATTCCGTTTAAATCTCATTTCTTTCTCATTATTGCATTCTCATTAAAATGAGCACAATGTCAGCAACTGAATTATTTTTTTGTAAGGTAAAAGCACTAAAGTTGTTGGGGAAAAAGGAATGATAACATTTACATTAATTGTTTTGAAGACTCGAGTGAAATTGCGCTTGAAGCAAATATCTAATTTGGCTGTTCGTATCTCCTTGAAGAAAAATTTGAGAAATTCCAACTGTCGATTAGTGCAATTGCTGGCTCTTTATTGACGGAATGAAGGAAACCTAGGTGTTTTGTTTGGCATTAGTATAAACCAACTGCAGAATTGCATTGGTTTACGACGCTGCTAAATTTGTGCAAAATAATGTTGCAACTCTTTCTCTTATCGTCGTCGTAATTTCATATCCACAATTTCTCCGTTCCCATGAAAGACTTTTGTATTCGAATGAAGTGGTTCACACAGCCCTTATAGTTGTGTCCACTTCTCCTAAGTGGATTCTAATTTGGCGCACATTACACAAACTGACTTGCAAATAGAGCGATTCCGTGGATGTCAATGTGTGGTTTGACAAACTTGGCGACACCATGAGACATTGGCACTTTTGCTAAACTAATGCTTGAATATATGAGACATAAATTATACTCACTTGGTGAACAATCACCTTTCGTCGTTTCACTTCCGTTATCACAAAGATTGCACCATCGTCAATTTTTGTTCTTTATGACGTGTAAAAGAGTAAAGCCATTTATGCCAGTTCCTCATTAATACAAATTTTGTTGTTAATGGCTTATTTAGACAGAATGCAGTTTGATGGCACTAATTATACAATCTCTCATTTCAAGTTGTTTCAACACTTATTTTCTCCTGATCTTTATCCACATTTTAGTAATTCTTAATATAGCATATTATTATGCGTCTTTCAGATGTGATTACTGGTCATTTGAACAGTAAGATCATTTAATGTTGTTTAGAACAATTAGCCAAAATCCATTAAAAGGTGGCGAAGTGTTCCCTCAGAGGGCAGATAAAGTTGAATAAAACAGTTGGGAAATGGTTGAATGATTGAAATGAAATGAACTTTTGAAGACAGATTGACATGAATAATAGACCATGGTGGCATTTGAATTTTCGAAGGGTATTTGGGTAAATGCAGATGAATAAAATCCAAAGATTGGCTACATTTGCATATTCCGTTCAGGTCAACTTATGCAGAACATATTGCTAGAACTCTGGCATTCTACATCACGCAAAATGCATTTTAATCTGCTCCTAAGCTGTTACTAATCTTATCTGACTTACAAATATTACCCTTTGTGTCAAACTCCACTGCAAATTCATTGATAACTGATAGATTGGAATGTTGGATGCAGCGCAATAATTTGCATTAAATACACAACTATCCAAACCCTCAACAATCATAAGACCCCTTTATTGTGTGCACAAGCTGCAATTGTTGCATTTACGTAAAATTAATTTTCAAATTTTCTCTCTGGACTCATCATGGTGCTAATGATAATCGTTTGAAACGTTAAGATTTGATTCCTTTTGAATAAGAGAAATTGAGTTGGATAATAAAAGCATTTATCGAGTTTTGATAAGTCAAATTACAATCCTTGTGGGATCTCGCAGGCTAGAAAAAAACTAGAGAATAATGTCACTGACATGTCGAAAGTTAAGAGAGTTTCGATTCCCCATGGTAAGACATTCTTTACTTCTATCTGACTACTTTCCGTGGGCGACATCCATAACACCGTCGTATTCAACACCAAATCAATAATTTTTAATTTCTGCCTATGCCTTGTTTTAGTGATAAGCTTCTTCATTGAAAGAGAATAATGAGAAATAAATTCAGTACTATTTGCATTATAATGAAAAGCACTGATTGTTATCAAAACAAAGTTGTAGTTCATGATATAATTGAGATAATTTTTTTATTATCGCAATCAATATAACGACAAAATGCTTTTGGAATTTAAACACATCATAATATTGGCTCGGACTTGGAAGGATTAATGATCTAAAAGGAAAAGAAATATTCTCCTTTAAATGCTATTATTTCGTTAAAAAATTAAATTTTTCCTAATTATACTAATTAAAAAATAAGAACCTCTTATGAAAATTGTTGTTAATGCTTCTTCTCTTTCACTTAACAGCAAAGAATAATTCAAGTGGGGTTTAGGTTTTTAGAGGTGAGTAATGACTCTTGATGTATGCAAACTAAAAGTACGAGTTAGTACCGGTCAAAAGGTTTGTTAGGTGTGAATTTCATTTACGCAATTTCTACTCAGTGGTAATAATTACTCCTTTTATTACCACTATCGTACAGATTGACAACAATTTAGCTCATCCTAGACATCGCTTAAACTCTTGTTAATTTTAAAATCCAGTAAAAATACGTTGTTCACACCGAGTCAGGCTCCACAATGTTACTCCAAGAAATGTCGCCAGCATGCTTTCTTGACTCCCACAAATGCCATAGCTCAAATATATTGGGGCGTTTATATTAATTGAGTAAAATGCCAAGTGTCTTTTAATCTGTTTTATTATGTGCATCAAGAGTTTTCATTTAACTTATTCTCCTTCGTGTTGTTAAATTCTACAGGGTTAATCATATTTTGGAATTTCATATCAAAGATATATTTATTATCTTAAAATTAAATACGTATATATGTGACAGGAGGAGATTTGACATTGGAAAAGAATTATGCTTCGATGACAATCTCACCTGTACTTCCATCATCATCCCAATCCTCTAAAATGCGAAAAACGCATTATTCTCGTATTATCCAAAAATTGTTTAGTTACATCCATTTACTCCTTTGCAATCTAATCAAAACACGATTGTGAAGTGAACTATAACTATAACTACGCATGAAAAAAATTGTACGCAGGACATCATGTCCATTTATACTCACCGACATTAATTATGGTTTCTTCTGAAAGAAAAAAATCATTTCGTTGAAGAGAAAACCCACAATATATGCAAACAAATAGTATAGATAACAGTCATTCATTAAAATTTATACTACATTCAATAGATTAATCCATTAACTACTTAAATGAATTTGAGAAAAGAATACCTTAAGTTAAATTTAATGGTAGAAATTTCAATTAAAGATTTCATTCAATTGAGCCAATATGAGTGGAAATGAAAGTTAATATTGATTATATATTTATGAAAAAAGTATTAAATTATAATTTTTCATTGATGCTGACTAAAACGTTGAACATATCAATAAACTCTGGAATATAAGTTTCATAACTTACCAATATCATTAGTGGGAACCACTGGAGGAAACAAAAGAAATATTGTTAATTCCACAGAACTGCTGTTGTTAGTTCATGATTACCAACTCATTATGTCAAGTTTGTGAGTCAATCAAAAGTGATGTTAATGTGTCGATTGTAAAGCTGTATAATGTCTTTGTATTTCATCACTTG